GTGTATGTGAGGGAGATTGTGAAACTGCATGGTGTTCCTGAAAGTATCATTAGTGATCGGGACCCTAAATTTACTTCTCGACTTTGGGATGCAGTGCAACAGGCATTCGGTACGCAGCTTAGGCTGAGTACGACTTATCACCCCCAGACTGATGGTCAGACTGAAAGGACTTTTCAGACCCTGGAGGACATGTTGAGGGCTTGTGCCTTAGAACAAGGAAATGCATGGGATAAGTATCTTCCTTTGGTGGAATTTTCCTATAATAATAGTTATCATGCTAGTTTGGGCATGGCTCCCTATGAGGCTTTGTATGGCCGTAGGTGCAGGGCGTCTACTTGTTGGTCAGAAATTGGTGAGAGGCAATTATTTGGGCCTGATATGGTCCAAGAGACTACCGATCAAATTATGATGATTAAGGATCGATTGAAGAAAGCACATAGTCGCCAAAAGAGTTATTATGATGCAAAGCATCGACCCCCTCTAATTTTCAGAAGGGGATCATGTATTTATCCGTTTGTCTCCGACTACGGGTGTTGGGTGTGCTCTAGGAGTGAGGAAGTTGAGTCCTAGGTTCATTGGGCTCTACCAGATTATAAAGAGGGTCGGACCTGTGGCATACCAGCTTGCCTTACCTCCACATCTGTCAAATTTGCATAGTGTTTTTCACATCAGTCAACTTCGAAAATACGTGCCGGATGCATCCCACATTGTACAGCCGTACAATATCAAAGTAAGAAAAGACTTGAAGTTTGTTGTAGGACCGTTGAAGGTTCTAGCACGTGATGAATTCCCATGATCAAGGTACAATGGGAAGGATTGACTCCTGAGGACGCTACTTGGGAGCGGGAGAATGAAATTCTCCAGCGGTATCCTGAGTTTGACGTCAAGTATGTGTGATATTTCGTATTTGATTTTGTGGGCAAAATCCTTAAAAGGTGGGGTGAATATAATGACCCTAAATGGTAAATCTTAATTAGAGATTTAATTTAAGGATTTAAAAGCCATAATTAGATTCAGTTAGTGATTCCGAGTATTTTGACTGTAATCATGACTATGTTATGAACAGTACGTTCTGCCGGAGAATTTACAGTTTTGTAAATTAACCGGTAGAGCTTAAAAGAGCAAAATAATTTTAGAGACATAATTTGATAATTCTGACGACAAATATGAGTTCAGAACGAAAAATTGTATAGTCTGGCACTTTCCGTGAAAATCTCGTGAATAGTGTTTCTACCGGGTATTTTGTACTGCTGTTTAAGCAACCGGTAGAGTCCAGAAATAAATAATTGATGAACTAAGAATAAGAAAGTCCAATATATACCAACCAAGTCAATATAGGCCCAAGAAAATGATAAGTTTATAAGTTTTAAGTTGCATAAGTAAATGAAGTACAATTAGTGATTCACAGTGCATTTCGTCAAAAACGGTGCAAAAACCATACTGTGAATTATAATATTGTTTTGTAAGAAATAAAAATTAATGTAAATGATTTTAGAAAAAAAAATATGTCTGTAACTTTAAGTTAGTTCCGGGTCAATTTAAGTTAAAATACACGATAGAAAAACAACCGGTTAAAAAGCCACATGTGCTTAAAAACCCATAAGTCACTTAAATTCACTATTCCCTCACACTTTCTCTCTCCCTTTCCCCTTCCCCACCCGTGGCAGCCATGGCAAAAGGAAGCTTACGGTTTGTTTTTGTTTTTCTTTGATTTCATGATTAAGCAACCAAATCTTCCACCCATTATACCAATCTCATAGGAAATCATCCAAGGAAGCTATTCCAACCCTCCATTTGAGCTGATTTTGTTTGTGGAGAGAGATATTTGTCATCTCATTTTCGGAGCACTATTCATCCAAGGTGAAAAAAAGGGATTTTTGGTGGAGACTTGTTTGGAGGTTACCTTTTGGAGGTAATGAACCTCTATTTCCATAGTAGTATCTTGATGATTTATGTTATAAAAGTTATGATTATGTTTTAGTGGGAAAGAATTGGGTGTGAAACTTTGATTAGATGATGAATCTTGGTTGTTTTGGATTTAGGAAATGAAAATGAGCATTTGTATGTATATAAAAAAATTAGAGAAAAATCATATACCTTTCTCTCTATGTTTCGGCCTTAATAGGGTCCATTGTGCAAATTTTAGTTGATGTGTTAAGAGGGTTTATTGTGTTGGAGTAAGTATGAAATTAGGAAGAAGGCCTAAAAGGAAAAATCCTATAAATACTTGCCCTTATGCTTCGGCCTTGGGGGCTTTAGAGGAGCTTGTCATGACAAAATTAATTGAGACTTGATGAACATATATATTTATGTATGTGTAGTTGCTAATTAAGGGAAGAAAGAATAATTAAAAAGAAAAGAACCCTTTTGCCTATTGTCCTTGTGGAGTTCGACCTATAGGGTGGCTTAGGAATATATTTTGTTACATTTTATTTTAATAAAATGTGTTGTAATGTATTGTATAAAATTGATGAGTTAAGAAGTGAAATGGCTTGAATAAGGGTTGAAAAATACATTGAGTTCCTAAAGGTAGGTTCACGGCCTTTAGAGAAAATGGCATGAATTATGTTGAAAATTCTCAAGTGAACACTTGATTAAATTGAGGAAATCCTAACGAGTATAAGGTGGTCTAGACTTGTGTATTGACATAGCATTGGCAAAAACATAAAGAAACGAAAAGAAGCGATAAAATGTATGCCTTATGTGAAAGCTAGGCATAATGGCATTTTATTAAATTGTATTTGTGGATTCTTGCTCTAGGTGTACCTAGGGACTTAAAAGGATCAAAATCTCTTGAAGATATAAAAGTAACTTGTGTCACAAGTAAGCAGATTGATAAAGCTTCAAGAGGTAGGCTCTATGTTTAAGGAGTCTTTTCCTACTTGAGTGCTCCATCATAGTTAGTGAACTGTGGTTGGATTGTATGACTGTTTTGATGCTTTGTATGGATGCATTCATATAGAGCTATTTGATAACATGATATATTTTGTTCTGATATGACTTCTGTAAGATGATTTTTGTAATAATCTCTGGCCATTGATTTTATAGTATCCTGATGTCCGCTTTGGGGTCCTCCCTCGGGACTAATGGTGTACGCTTCTGATATGTCTGGTTCCGCTTTGGGGTCCTCCCTCAGGAACACGTGCGTTGATTTCCGCTTGGGGTCCTCCCTTGGGAATGACGGCGCACATCTCTGATATGATATGGATATATGCTCTGTTCTGTTATGATATCTGTTATATGTTGTATTTGTATACTTTGTACCTGACTTTCATGCAGGAGTGAGCCAGGGGTATGGAGAATTCTCGATAAACCTGGAGCTTATTGAGATTTGTAATCTCACCCCTCGTTGGGGATATATTTTCAGGTGCCCAGATCCCCGGTGAGACCTCTCGAGTCACGGACGCTACCCGTGATTGAGGATTTTGGACATATTGGATTTTGAGTAGCTGTAGGCTACTTCTATTTTGGAGTATAGTGCTTTCATTTAGTATTTCAGTATTTTGTGGATCATGATGTTAGATCCTTTATTTTGTATATGGTCTGTATAGGTTTTGTACATGTCTGTCAGTTTAATGCATGTACATTTGAGTATTCAGGCACGTTATATGATGATGTAGTATTCAGATAAGTTTACGTTTTGATGGCATGTTGTTAGATATAGTGGCACAGAGCCATGTTATGCATGCGCCCATGTATGGGTATTTGATTATATTTGGATACCTGGTATTTCTTAATTGATATGTTGTATAAACTGTTTATCAGAAAATGTTTCTGAGTGGTATTGGAAAATCCCCAGTTGTCCGATTTATAGAGGAAACTCTGCCCGATTTTCGTTTACGCCGAGTAAGAATTAAGTTAGAAAAAGAAAAAGTAAGCTCATATTTTCGTAAGTTAAGTCTTCCGTTGTTTCTGTTTATATCATGTGTATGTTAATTGAACCGGCTCGAGACGGGGATGTTACACACCTCCCCAACTTCTTCCTTCTCATGCTATCTCCTAAGCGTATTTCCACGTTAGAATGATGGTGAGATATGCAGTAGGGTAATTTCTTCATCCTCTTTATAGAGGATGATGACATTTTCATCTATACACTTTCATTTTTATCTTTTGCTACTTGAGATTTTTATCTTTTCCGGTTCAAATTTTGGATGAGGTTGAAGTTGCGAAGAAACGTTTTGGGAAGCTGAACACGATAGTGATGAATGCGGTCATGGAGGCTTGTGTTCATTGCAATGTCATCGATTCAGCTCTGAGGATATTCCATGAGATGAAAAACCCCAAGGGTTGTGGTGTGGATACTGTCACATATGCTACGCTCTTGAAGGTATTCAGATGTACTTGGTTTTCGCAATTCCTTTTTTCTTTCCAAATATTCGTTGACTTTTTTGTTATAAGTGTTCTGGTTTTATAAATGATGAAGTAACCGAATGATACTCTGTAACTAAGGTATCTTTGGATGGTGGAGTAGAGTAAGTTTTTCATTTTAAGAAAATATTCTATTATTTGAGAATTTTCTTAAAATGAGGGGAATAAAAGGAGATATTAGCATATAATCTCCAATTATCTTTATTTTATTTTGTTTTGTTTATAATCATTATATGACTTCCATTCCAAAAATGAAAAAGTAACCCTTAATATCCTTTTTTTCTGAACCTTTGTCTCCAAACGTACCCCTATAGTCTTACAAATAGTCTCGTTCTCTATCTAACAATTCTGTTATATGGAATTGTTATCATTTAAAAATTCCACATTGGTGTTTGGAGTTGTTTAATAATTCTATGTTGTTGTTTGTGTTTTTCATCCTTTGCTCTTTGGAGTTAGTGTACACTGTAGACCCCTTTACATCTCTGGCTTAATAGTTCTGTACTGTGATGTTGTCTGTGAATTGGTTTGTTGTTTTTATTGGCTGCTAATGCTAAATCTTTATTACGGACTTGTGGATTTTTGTAATGTATCAATTTGGTTGTACGTTTGCTTGCTAGAATTGGGAATTTCGAATGGGTAGTTTAGTAAAGGTGATGAAAGGAATAGAGAAAATTTTCTTCATTATTTATATGTAATTTATACTTTTAGAGGAAAGTGCACGGCAACTTGATATTTTTGGTATTTCGATAGAGTTAATTTTTATAAATTGATGTGCTGAACTGATATTAGGAGGGGTTTCATGAATCCTTAATCAAACTAATTGGAAGTCTAAAAAAATCTTGTTTTTTAAAAACTGTTTGAAACTAATCTGTTTTAGTCTACTTAAATGAAATATTTTGATCAGTTGTGTTTTTCCCCTTGGGACTGTGATTAAAAAAATTTGTTTCATATCTCATTTTTTTTCTTTTTCAGAAAGCTGCATATTGGTTCCCAATCATATGGATTATTCTGGAAACAAAAAAAAAATTGTTTGCTGAGGTTGAAGTTTCCCCATTCATACGTGTGCTTCCCACTTGGGTTTGACAAGTAATAAGATTCACTTGTGCTCAGTTACTCATTTTCTGCCTACATCTAGAAAATTGTTTTCACATGCATTCTTGATTTATTGTCATGGTACCTAGTACTTAAGTTTATCTTCTTCCTGGCATTCCTAACTATTGCAATGCCATGTGTGGATCTTTGCTATCATGTATAACTGCATATTTTTTGAAATTTTTGGATTGTTGATTCATTGCAGATTGACAGAATAATGAAATTCCACATAACCTCACAGTTTATAATATAGAGATTTTTTAATTTTTTTAATTTGTTTGGTATTTCCACTGAAAGGCAGAGGTAAGACCTAATTCTCAATGATAATGACCCTGTTCACTGCCATACTTGTATTTCCAATATCCACATCAATTGATTTTTCTTCATCAATTGGTTAGTTCTCCAAACATGATATAATTTTCATGTTTGGTATAGGATACTGTTGAATCATAATTGATATAGGAATATTTCCAGGGGAACATTTATAGAGTTCCATATTGGGATGCAAATGTGGCCAGACCTTATTGATAAGTCAAAACGTGGAGGCTTAAACCTGATCCAAACTTATGTGTTTTGGAATGTTCATGAGCCTGAGAAAGGCAAGGTATGTATTAATTCTGGAACCAGAGATCGACCTACTGCATGCAATTGAAAACTCTGACTAATGTCACAGCCTGTGACTTGGTTTGTTTCATTATGCAGTTCCAATTCGACGGCAGGTATGATTTGGTGAAGTTCATTAAGCTCTGTCATGAGAAAGGAATGTATGTGACCCTCAGGGTTGGACCTTTCATCCAAGCTGAATGGAATCATGGGTATGCTATAGATTAACTTATTTCTCATATGCATGTTCTCAATTACGTTTATAAAGAAACAACATACAACAGATTTTGCATAATAACATGGTACATCAATATTTTTTTGAGATTGTCTCATAACCTTATATTACATGAAAGAAAAAATGTATTCCCCTTACCTTTTAGTATTGTTTATTCTCTCTCTCTCTCTCTCATGATAATGTGCTTCCTACAATGTTAATATATCATTGGACTTCCATATTGGCTAAGAGAGGTCCCTGACATCATATTCCGTTCAAACAATGAACCCTTCAAGGTAATCAACCTGTTTTATTCTGTATATATAACTCGCTGGCTTCTAGTTTCTGGAAAAAGAGGCCATAATTTAAGATACTGATATTGTTTCCTATTTGCAGAGGCACATGAAAGAATACTTATCAACTATTATAGACAAGATGAAAGAAGAGAAACTCTTTGCTTCCCAAGGAGGCCCCATCATCTTGGCACAGGTTCTGATTTTCCACATGATCCTTCTCCCAAAGTCTATTTAGTTTCTTCTAGAGTGCTCAATCTTATAAATATACTCCTCACACTCTATTAATGTGCTGCACATTGAGATAGTGGTAAGTTCATGAAATTATTCAGGCACAATTTTCCTTCCAAGTGAGATAGTGCATATTACCTCTGACCTGACCATTCTTACTTCATTTGGAAGATTAATGCATGCAATGGAAGGCACTGTGGTGATACCTTCACAGGACCAAACAAACCATATAAGCCTTCCATTTGGACTGAAAACTGGACTGCTCAGTAAGTATACCCCTTTGGCCTTGCTTACCGTTAGTGAACAATAAATATGTCAGACTACATTTTGTTACACTTAAAATAAGACAACATAACCAACTATCATTATTTCTTGTGATAAGAAGCTTGTTGTCCTTAACCAAATATGTCAGACTTTTGAGTCCTACAAATGAAGAAAATAGAAGGACACTCGAATCTAAGACATGGTTTCATGTTTTTGCTTACACCAAGCACTAAGAATATTTGTTGGTAATTTGCAACTACAGGTACAGAGTATTTGGAGATCCACCATCACAAAGATCTGCAGAAGACATTGCCTTCTTAGTTGCCCGTTTCTTCTCTAAGCATGGTTCTTTGGTCAACTACTATACGGTATAATCTCCTCATATGCAATTTCTGGTTCTGAAATTGATTTATTATCTATTTTTGGTACTTCATTTTAGTTTTCTATTTAATGTTATAGTAATTGGAATTGGGCATTTTGAATGCAGTGAGAATCTAAGAGACAAATAGAAAGAGTACCATCGAGGACCTTTATATTTTTTGATGGTTTGGTTCTTATCTATCTTCTAATTCTAGGCAAATTTATGCTTTATGCTTTTAAAATATCACAAGGAAGATTATAAACCACTGATATTCACCTTTCTGCAGGGTTCAACTCTTTATTCTTGTACAGGAGATTATACCGGTGTCATACATCATTGGATGCATTTTATGCAGATAATGGGAATGTGGAAAGGAGAAAAGACATCTCATTGAAGGACTTTATAAAAAGAGTATGATGCGAAGAAACCGATACAAAGATAAAAGAATTTTTAATAGTAACCTACATAAAAAAAAATTACAACGTGGGGGTTCTGTTCCAGGGTTCTAACCGGTACAAAGATTAACATGATTTGGCTTGTTCTAACACTTAATTATCCTTCACAGATATAGCATCCTTGTTGGTTTCCTTTTCACATCGCTGAAAGGTCTTATTTTTCCTTTTTATAAATGTAATTTCATTCTAAATAATAAGTTTGTTTTAACCTTTATTCTGCACTAAATGCGTTTGTTATCTAGAAAGGTCTCCTCCATGCTATAAATCAATTTCAAGAAGCAAAGGCCTATAGACCAGCTTCTAGGATTTTTGTTTCTTTTCCTGTCTATAAACTGCAAATATGTTGTTCCATGTACTAGTTGTCTCATGCTCATTTTTCTGTCTTTGTAGGATGTCCCTCCAGCAATTCTTAGATTCTTATGGGAGCACTGGTCAGAATGGGCAGATAGCAATATTGATGAAAAATTGTACTTGCAAGTACAATTTTCAAATAAGAAACGTTTCTATAACGGAAGTTTGTATAGTTACCCCTTTTTTATTTTACCAGTTTGTTCTATTCTCAGATCTCATTTCACGAAGAAATTAATTGGATGAGTTTGTATGGACGGAGCTAATTTCAATGTTTAATTCTTTCCAGAAGTTATAGATTTTTCATCTGTAAAGCCATTTAAAATGGGCTAGTGTCGAGGTTATGAATTCTAACCTCAATGTTACATTAATATGGTATAGGAAATAAAAATTTTCTAATCGCAATTCCTGAGTAGGGTAAAGGGACACAAATTCAAAATCAAATTAGTTGGACTCGTTAGGATTTCAGATACCTGTTGGTATAAAAAAAACAAAACAAAAAAAATTTTCCCGAATAAGAAGCTAAGGGTGCGTTTGGTATCAAGATTATATTTCAATTCCTGGGAGAGCATGCTATGGAAAATTATAATATGACGTTTGGTAGCAAAAAAGGAACAAGTTTCCTCAATAACTTTTTTTTTTCTTTCGATTTTTGCAGTTGTGTGTAAAGTTCTGTACGACAATCATCCCAGAAAGTCCATGGATTAGATGGAATTAATTTTTGCCCTAGGAAGAAGTAAAAAGAAACAACAATTATCTGGACCAAATTAACCTTGCTTTTTTTGTACGATCTTCATGAATCTACGGTGTTCTTCACTGGTGGGTCTACAAAGTTAAACCTTGCAGGGGATTTGTTACTGGGTTGAAGTTACCAAAACCTGCACCAACTACAAAGAAGTGGAACCCATGAATATGCATAGGGTGGTCCTCTGTTGTTACTATGTTAGTATCCTGGAAAATAATTTGCACATTTGAATCATACTTCAACTTAAAAAGCTTAGTTTCTCGTGAAGGTGTCCATAGCCCCCGAGGCACATTGCCAGTGCAGGAGGTAAACATGTGGTGAAGGTACTAGCGATACCCAGATCTGTTTCTTCTATCCGGTGAATAACGTTCATTATACTTTTTGAATCAAAAGGTAAATGTGGGGTTATTTTGGTAAAATAATTTCACATTCCCACTAATATTTCATAACCAACCAAATACAAACTCATTAAAATTAACTTAATTTTTCTGGGAAAATATGGGTCTACCAAACAACTTTTTAGTAACATTTCAGTAAAATATATTTCCCACTACATTTCAATAATAATTATTTTCTGGATTAAAAAGAAAATTCTCCTGTGCCAAATGTCTCTTGTGCTATCAATTTGTCTTGCGATTTACATTGTGCTATCGATTAGTCTAGTAATAAATTAATACCACTCATTGCAAAATGCAAAACTTTTCAAAGCTTAATATTAGAATATACATACAATGCCATTAAAGATAAAGAACTAAGATCGAATAAAACTAATTGCGTGAGAGAGGGAAACCAATCCCATGTCGTTGGCTAGGGAACAAAACAAATAGAACACTACACACCAAGCCAATCCCAATAGGCACTGCTACCAAAAGTTCCTTAGCCTCCTCTGAAGGCTTTGGAACTAAACAACTCACTACACTTTTATCAAAGAGTGCAATGGCACCAAAAACCAATATGGACGTGAAAGCATGGAAGAAATCAATGAACCTTAGTCTATATTTAGCTGCCTCATCAATTGGAAGCCTAACTGATGCATCCAAAATCCAAAGTCCATTTGATGAAGCCATTCCATATCTAACTTTTCCCCTTTCGTCCCTGAAGCTATCAGTGAATGAGAGAAGAAAGCATGAGATGCTGCAAAAGGTTAAGAGTCCTATGGTCATGGCTTTGCTTGTTTGGGTATGGCATTGGCCTTCGTGTGTGAAAACTGGTGATAGAATCTGGAATATGAGGACTGTCCCAGTAGGAAGAAGCTTTGCCAAATGTGCTGTGCCTTTGAAAGCCTTTCTTATGGTCTTTTGTGTTGGTGTTTTGGGTGTTTTTTGTGGTGTAGGTGCGTTTTCCAAAAGGGGTTGTTGAGTTTCCACAGGAACATCCATGAAAAAAAGAAAGAGGAAAAAACAAAAAAAACTCTGTTTTTTATTCTATCTCGTTTTCAGATTTTTTGTTTCAATTTTTTTTCAGTTTGTTCTTGAAGCATGAATATCCTATATAGCATTTAGTATATATATGTATTAATAAGCAAGAAACTGAAAACCATGTATACGCTAAACAGAAAATGTTGGGTTCGGTTTTGTTTTTGTGTTGAGGTTTTCATAGAGTGGTTCTCCACGGACTATCTTTGGCACTAGAGGTTTGTTACCTTAACGGATTCTTTTAAAATGTATCAGTGCTTCAGTAACTGCTATGGAACTGAATGTTATTGAGTTATTTATGGTAAGAAATAGGTTACATGCTCGGCGATGAGGGGAAAAAAGGTTACATTGTAAGACTTTTTTTTTCTTAGGTACACGGTTATTTTCTTTTATTAGAGGTATTTTTAGATTTTCTTTTATTAGAGGTATTTTTAGATTTCCTTTAATTTGTAGAGTAAATACATTTTTCGGACCTCAGCAAATTTTACAATGCCCGCTTTAGTCCCTAGCAAATAAAAAGGCTATTTATGGTCCCTAAGAAATTCAAAATGGACCCATTCTAGTTCTTTTGAGTGACTAATGTGGGTCTTTTTTGAATTTGTGAGGGACCACGATTTCAACTAAATGGATTCCATTTTGAATTTCTTAGGACCACAAATAGCTTTTTTATTTGCTAGGAACTAAAGCGGGCATCGTAAAATTTGTTGAGGACCGAAAATGATATTTGCTCTAATTTGTATAACGAGGATTTTAATGGATATTGGATATAGTACGAAAACGGTTAGTTAGTTGTACTTAGTTGTTCTTTATCTATGTAGCACCGATACCAACACGGGACACGTGACACGATACGACACGACACTCCGACACGTTAATTCTAAAAAATATTAAGTTTCGACACGTTAGGACACGTTTTGATATTAAATAATATTTTTAATTTATGTAGTGTATATTATATTTAATATTCAATAATTTAACAAAAAAAATCTAAAATTATAATATTCATAAATTTTGCAAAAAAGCATAAGATATTCCAAATATTTATATTAAACTCAATAAAATAGTAATCGTAATCCAACGAATATAATAGTTGGAACTAAAAACTCAACGCAACGCAACCTTTAAATCTTTTTTTGAATTTCTATAACGCGTGTTGGAGTGTCGGGGAGTGTCGGAGTGTCCGAGAGTGTCGGACACGACACGTCAGGATTTTTGAAGTGTCGGTGCTTCATAGTTCTTTATATCCTTTGGGCAGCTTTTTCTCCCCTCAAATCCTATTCCTTTTTGGCTAAATATTATTGGGAAAACATTTTCTACTTTTAAAGGAGAAAATTTTTCTCATGTTAGTGACTCATAATATAAGTGGAGCCCACAAAATAGTGGAGAGAAAAAAATTTCAAGATGAGACTCACTTATACTATGAGTCACTAACATGAGAAAAAATTTCTCCTTTAAAAGGAGAAAATGTTTTTCCATTATTATTATTATTATTTTATTTGCAAAAATCTTAACTGTTGATTGACGGAAATCAACGGTTAAAATATTGGTTATAAGAGGTTGTAAACGAAAATAGATTGTAAGTATAACATTCCCCTAAGTCTTATGGTGATGAGAGAATCAAAGTTTGAAGCACATTGATAACCCACGTCTTGGCTATAAGCCTATTATTTGTGTGCAGTGATTGGGAGATTAGCTATAAGCCAACCAAGATATCTATCTCTAAGATATCTCTGAGCCCTTTCAAAACAGCATAGTTCTACTGTTTTCTAAGACCAAACAACATCTAAATAAAAAAGAATAAAATAGACCAAGGATAGAGAAAAAAATTAAGGGGGTGTATTGGATTAAGATTTTAAAAGACTTTTTTGAGATAAAAAATTCTACAGATTTTAAATGACATTTTAGAATTGGAGAAACTTTACAGAATTTTTTAAAAGACTTTTTTTACAATCAAGATTTAATAGGATTGAATTTTAAAGGATTTTAATAGAATTCATATGATTTGAAAGGACAATATAGATTTATAAGATTTTAAAAAACCATATGGATTTTTAACAAACATTCAAAATTACAAGAGTCAATACAAAATGAAAAGGTTATACGTACAACATATTCTTGTTTACAACATTTTACAACCATATCTTAACCGTTGATTTCTGTCAATCAACGGTTATCATTCATTGCAAATTAAATATTAATTAATAAGTTTGATTTGCGAAAATAATAACCATTGATTGATGAAAATCAACGGTTAAGATATGGTTGTAAAAGGTTGTAGACAAATATAGGTTGTAAGTATAATTTTTCCCATAAAAAAATAACAAAGAAATACAATGAAATTAATAAAAAAAATAAAAAATAAATAAATATTTCTCAATCAATAAAACATAATGGGGAAGGATATACTTACCACAAAAAAAGCTTACAACTTTTACAACTAACTTAATCACCATTGATTTCCGTCAATCTAACGGTTATAATTTATTGGAAATTATTGGGTCGTATTTATTAATTCCCAATAAATTATAACCGTTAGATTGAAGGAAATCAATAGTGATTAGGTTGGTTGTAAAGGTGGTAAATTTTTTTGGTGGTAAGTATATCCTGCCCCAAACATTAATATAATTTTTAACAAACATTCAAAATTACTAAACAACAACTTTTCACATATCTAATGGGTTGAAAATCATCTTCTTTATTTGGTATCAATTATCAAAGCTATGCATATATGATTAAAAAATCCAATTTTTTTAATTATAAAAATAATTCTAAATTTGCATATAAAACCTAAAGTTCATGATAAAATTCCGTTTGAAATTTTTTGCAATTGATCTTGAAAACCTTCGGGTTTTTGGAATTTTCTAACCATATATGATAGGGGAAAGATCCACTTACCACCAAAAAAGTTTATAACTTTTACAACCAATTTAATCACCGTTGATTTCCATCAATCTAACGGTTATAATTTATTGAAAATTAATAAATGTGACACAATAAATGCTATTAATTTTCAATAAATTATAACCGTTAGATTGATGGAAATCAACGGTGATTAAATTGTTGTAAGAGTTGTAAACTTTTTTGGTGGTAAGTGGATTCATTCCCTATATGATATGCATATTTTCATTGAATATTAAGAAAATTTTGAATTTGAAATTTTTGGTTTAATTACATAAAAGTTTAGAAAATTTCTCAAATTTTTTTCAATCGATACATTGAAACCTTAAATTGCTTTGGGGCTTTTGAGAATCAAGCTTTTAGTTATCTATTGACACAAAAATTGTTTGAAATTGTTTCCTACAGTGAAAGAATTTCGTTCATCAATGTATTGTTAGGAAATATAGGGTTCATATTATGAAAGTTTCAATCTTTCTTTAAATTGATATTGTTTCATTGATGTAAAACGAAAATACTACGAAAGTTCCCCTGTTATTTTTTTACTGTTTTATATTATTTTTAATACAAAAAGCACATTTTTGTGCCAAGAAAAATCGCGACCCATAGCTTGAAAAATCACTTTTTAAACTTCCAAAATTTCTCAAAAATGGCTCAAAAATATGTTATTTTTGAGATAGATTATATTAAAATCTCGTTGGTTTATTGTTTCTGGGTTATTTTGTGATAAAAATCGCTCAAAAATATGTTTTTTTTTTAATTTTGACGAAGCTCCCATGGCGGAACCCAATTTCGAGCAATCAACCTATCAAAGGAAGAAGAAAACACTGCAATAGAAGAATCTCAAGAAATCCTAGGGGTTGGGGTGAGATTGTGAGAGAGGCATCTTATTTATATTTTTCACTATAAAGTCTCGTGAAATCCACACCAATAGGAAATCCATTAAAATCGTCGGATTTTTGAATACCGCGAGATTGTGATTCCATTATTTAAAATTCTGATTGAATATCAACGGATTCTAAAATGATCCTTTAAAATTCTAATCGAATACCACGTGACTTTTTTTCAATCCATTAAAATCCAAATTGAATACCAACGGATTTTTTTGTCCAAAAACAATCCATTAAAATCCTTTGAAATCTCAATCAAATACACTCCCCTAAATATATTTTATTCTATTTCTTTTTTTTTATCTTAATTTTTTTCTTGTATTTTTTTGTTTTCAATATTTTTTTTCATTCAGACTATTTTTTTTAATTTATGTCTTTTCTGTCATGGTTGTGATTTTAATATATTTGATCTTATTTTTTCTTCTATTTTTTTTTGTTCTTATTCTATTTTTTATACATTTATTTTTTATTTAGACACATAACACATTTGATTTATTGTTTTGCTATTCTTTTATTTTAGTCTTTTATTAACTGTTGTACGTTTCCATAACGTTTGATGTTATTTTTTTTTCTTTACCATTTTTTTTTCTTATTCTGAGAAGGGCAGAATAAGTATATTTAATTAATTTTCTAACAGTGTTAAGGAGGGATGTGGATAAAAAAAATCACAAGGGATTAGGTGATTAAAAAAAGTACAAGGGTGTAAGTGATTCAATGCAATACCACAATATTTTTTTTGAACTTTTCTCTTTATTATATATGACCCCAATAAATTTATGGGTTCGCTTTTTCTGCAGTTACTGCAGATAAGTTATCTGCAGTAAGCTCAATACGACGTCGTTTTGGGGCGAAAATCATGGTGTTTTTGTAATATTAATTTATTTCAGGATTATTATCGTCTTTATAATTATAATTTTTTAATATTTCAATCCCAAAATGACGTCGTTTTGAGAGTAAATGCAGATAACTTATCTGCAGTAACTGCAAAAATATTTTTTTTGTAAATCTAGTAATGATTTCGGTATTATGTTTTAGGGCAATACTTTTCTTATTTCACAGGAGCTGCTAACACATGAAACAGGTGGGGCCAGCATGTTTTATGTTTTAAGCCTATAAATTAAAATGTTGTAGACTTGTAATAAATCATGCCCAATTTCAAATTTGAAATATGATTCAACC